TATTCTATATATGTTTTCGCTCTAAATTGTTTTTACACCTATTTTTTCGAACATTGCTCATTTTTATATAAAAAAATTATACAAACATATATAAAAATATATATATATAAAATATATATACAATATATATATATTTTATATATAAATAGATTTTATGCATCGATATGTATACAATGTATACCTTTTATTATATATAAGATATCCACATAAATAATGTATAATTTTAGAAGTATGCATATTAAAGTATTAAATAGGTAATTCCAGCAAAATGATATGGATCACTATCAATATCACTTTCCGTGGTAACAAAAAAGCATTACCACTCGTTTCACTTCACTCGTTTCATATTTTATTCCTAAAGTATCCGTATTCTATTGTCTACCATCACGAAACTTTCCGATAATGGTAACTTACCACCAAAATTCATGGTAACCTCAATGACATATGATTGGCATGTATATTTAACTATTATAAAGACCGATTAATGAATAATAGAACCAAATAAACGATAATATCATTAACTATCATATGGAAAATATGTAGTGTGGTATCGTAAATAACGATAACATAAATTTTGTGCTACGTATCGCTATCGCCATTCCACTGTCGATTTTATGACGTAAGTATGATCCGTATGATCTGCAAGTGTGACGAGTGTTTAATCTTGATAAATTTTAAATCTGCCACATCCTTCTCAAAATTTTTCGATAAGATCAAATAATGAAAATTTTTGCAATACCTATACTAAGAAATCAATTCGCTTATTTTTGTCATGGAAAACCTAAAAAAGGAACTTATTTATCAAAAATTACTGACTTTACAACCTTCGATGGATATAATAATAGAACCTATTTGCATTTGCAATATCGAGTAATTAAATATTAAACATCTTTTTGACAAAATTACATAATTATTATCAAATATGATCCTAAATCAAAACACCCCAAAATTTAAATTTATATTAGAAATAGGCCCAATTTCCATAATTGGCCATTTACGGCCTCAGTCGCGACAATAATCATTAAAGAACCTACATCATTTCTATTTTTTTCTTCTTTTGTTTTGTATTTCCCCTCCTTTTCATTCAACTGTATATTATTTTTCACATCAACATTCTCATTCTCATTCGATGGTATATTTTTTTCTACCTCTTCTTTCAATGGTATACTTTTTAAAAAATATTCCTGATGGTCAATTTTGTCCAATAATTGTTGACCTGTAATATACAGCTTCCCTTTCCAACTACTCCTTTCAGCATGACAAAGTTGATCCCATTTTTTAGCA